CCTCCCACCAAGTCACATGGAACCCGACAAGGGGTCCCTTTAAAAGGAAACTGGTCTTCCAGTATGCCCTGTCAGGTTGCATGTTAATTGGTGGGAGGGTAGATGGTGCAATCTCCGGGTGTTCCCCATGGTGCACAGGTTGAACCGCTTCCGCACTGATCAGAAGTGGGCTCACCTCATGGTCTGTGCCCAGTCCCGTCCTTGTGGACGAGTGAGGAAGTTCCGCCTCCTCAGTTCAGACAGCATGCCCGGGGTTTTCCTGGTCATCAAGTCAAGAAGTTCAAGAAGGCCGAACAAGAGTGTCATGCCTGCGACTCACAAAGCCGTGTTTCTTGCTGTCCGTGAAGTACCGCATGCAGCGAACTTGGCTCCTGCAGTGGCAACCCTGTAAACACTCTGCCTTTGCTGTGTGTAAGCTTTGACTCACAAATAAACAACTTCGGTTGTTGGACATGCTCCACGTGAGCAAAACTCAACCATGACGGCTGAACTGGAATTCATCTAAGCTCATTTAAATGGTTCACACAAAATGTGGAAACCAAGTACAGGTAGTCCTGCACGAAATTACCCCAACAGGCAACAGCCATCCAAAAATTGTCTGCAACTTCCGCAGCAGGTGTCTGCGAAATTCGGCATCCCCTTTCATAACTTGGATGGGACCGATCTAGATGTCCCCACAAGGCATTCACTGAAACAGACACTGCATTCATGTACGTGGCCCCGTGTCACCACTTGGAATCCCCAAAAATTGGTGTTTCCTACAAGGCCCGGCCTTTCATGGCCCGTTTGCAACTTGTTGCCGTGTGCTACACTCTACTTTAGGACCCTAGGAAAAGAGCAACGGGGCCTCGTTTGAAGACCCAAAACTAGGGACATTTCCCAGCTCTGCCCTCCCACCTAACATAGACTTGCCGGGCCGTCTGGTGGCTTGCAAGTTTAGTGAATCAGTCGAACTTGTTGGGTGCCACCAAAATCATGTTCCAGCAAGGTACTGACTGAGTCCAGCGCCTCTTCCATGTGCGGATTTCTCTGGCCAAGGGCGTGGCAGCAAACCAAAGCATAGAGTCCAGGACATAGGTGTCCTTCTTAGGTTTTCTTGGCTAGAAATAGATGGCACAGGTTTAGATTGGTTTCATTCCATTTACCAGGGCCACCTATTTTCCCAGAACGCCTAGGGTCCAACTCAGCAAGCGAGCGAACTGCGCAACCGCGCAGTTCGCAACTCCGGGCCGCCCCGGCGGCGTCTGGCTTCAGCGCTTGCGCCGTCCTCCGCAGCGAGCCCAGCTTGCCCTTGCCTGACCGGCTCAGGGACGGAGGCTAAGGAGCGCACTGTGGATGGTTGCGAAATCCTTTTCGCACCACCGTTCAGAAAGCCTGGAATGAGGATACCAACAAACCATGGTTTCCCATGGTTTCAAAGTGGTGCAGGATTTTGTCCATCCACAGTACCTCCAGTGGATTTCCACGTTTAACAAACCAGTTATAGCTCATTGGGGCCCCATTGACTGCAAAGGGAAGCTCCCAACCCAAACAAAGAGTTGGGGGACATCATCAACTTGTTAAGATCGGTTTGGTTTCAACCTGAAGTCAGTCCCAACCTGCAGGAAACGAGACACCCAACCTGCCAGCGATGCGTCCGTGGCTCTGGCGATTTGCACCTCCTCCGATTTGGTACCCTCCCTTCCACTTGGAATCTGACTGAGGGTCCTGAAAGACGATTCTTTCAAAAAGCAGCCTCTGGTGGGGTCCAGGTTGGTGGACAGGAAGTCTGGAAAGTCTCCAAATCGTCTGACAAGCTCAGCCATCGTTTAGAGACGGAAGGCCTCGCACATCCGGAGCAGGCATCGGCTTGGTGCCTAGCGAGGCTGTAGGGTGGGCATCTTGAAAGCCAGATTGGGATGGTCCAAGGAGCAGGTCAATGGACCCATTCTTACGTTGATTAAATAGTTCATGACATCTCTGCAGTTCCAACACCAATAACTCCATAAGTGTCCTCAAATTAACAAACATTCATTAGGCAGTATCCGATTTTCCAGTTTACGAATCCAAGGTTGTTAGTGAAAAGCTGCTTCGTTTCATGGAAAATCGAGTATTCCTCTAGGACCTGCAGGGTCCAACAACGAATCAAGGTTTACAGAGAACGAATCCGCGCCATGGGCGGTCCGCGAAAAAAGTGTTGTCGGTGATTGTTCCAGATTTCAAGTGCTTTCGGATTCAACGATAGCAAGAAAGGGCATGGGGTATGCCGGTATAGGCGCTTCGGAACATTGGATTTCAACCCATCCAAATTGCTTCCTCTTGGATGCCATTCAAAATTTCATCGAGCAAGCGGTCCGATTTCGGTTTTGAGGCACACCCTCGCTCACTGGCACCTAGTGAGCAGAACGCCTCACAGGGTCGGCCAAGCCACATCAAGTCACGTAGCGCTTGAAAAGCTAAGTGACCAAGTACAACGTAAAGGTTGTAGCTCCAGTGTTTGACTGAGAATGAGCAGGCCAGGCCTTGCTCCAAGGCGCAAACCCGAACAACTCTTGCAACTTATCCCTGAGGCAGCATCCAGTTGAGCAAAACTCAATGCACGTTGGGGTGTCACTCATGGTTGTGTAATATATATATATATATATGTATGGTATGTATTTGTGCATATGCACATGTAGACAGAAGCGTGAAACAAACATTCTTGATACGCATTGTCTAATAGGCATCTTGTCTAATAAGCAACATGTATTGACCAAACGCCGAAACCATCCGTCTCGGTGCGATATTTTTCTGGGCTTTCCCACCGCTGGGTGAGGTGTCCTGACGAGTGGGTTGGAGTGGCAGTGTATGGCCAAGGTCCAGGACCACTTTTAGTTATCAGACACAGACACAGACACAGACACAGACACAAACACAGACACAGACACAGAGACACAAACACAGACACACAGACACACAGACACACAGACACACACACACACACACACACACACAGACACACAGACACAGACACAGACACAGACACAGACACACACACACACACACACAGGATTGTGCGGTCCTCGGTCGGAAAGAACTGCACAGTTCCGTCGGGAAGGAGCACGGGCCGTTCCCACGTCGTGTCCTGGCCATTGCGACTTGGACTTGGATGCGGTTTCCTTCCGCGCCAAGCGGACCCCGGGTTTTGGTTCTGGAATAAACACGCGCAAACCAATCCTTGGGTCCAAAATCGAACACATCGCCATTAGAGGAAACACACATTGGACTGAAAAAACACGCATCAACAATCACGCAATCACAAGGGTGGACATTTGGCCCCTGGAAAAGGAAAGCAACGATACCCAAGCGCATTTTTCTACCCTTGTGGTTTGGTGAGAAGTTTGGAGCAACCCTGCCGGGATTCACCAAACGGATGCCTCTAGCACCCCTTTTGATGGTGCAAACACACCAGGAGGGCCCAGCCAAACAGCACATGCACAAAAAAGCGCCAGCAGTGCCCAATGGCAACCTCAGGTGAACACGGCCACACCCGACCCGTTCAACTGAAGTATCATCCCCTGACTCCACAAGGAGCGAAGCTTCGGAATGTGGAATTCTGAGGCCTCTATGACCCCCGGATTCATATTCAGGATTAGTTGCGGCTCCTACTGTGGATGGACCAAACCCTGCACCACTTTGAAACCTGGGAAACCATGGTTTGTTGGTATTTACGGGGGAATCATCATTCCAGGGTTTCTTAGAATTTGGTGCAGGAGCTTGTGATTACAAGTTGACGCCTTCGTTTGGTATGTCCACTGGCCCAATCCAGAGCAGTCTCGGTCACAAGGCGCCGCAATTGGGCCAGCAGCACCCCGGTTTGGGAGAAGACGTAGAACACCCGGCCTGTCAAATTCCGCGACTGCGCGACACGTTTTCACGGCATGTAATTCTAAGAGCCCTGGGAAACTAGATCACAAACTAGACGGGGATTTCCGCATGTTAAAACGGAGGCACGAATAGAAGGCTTCGCAATGAAACCGATCAACCAAGCACCTGCCCTCAACCCTTCGTCTCTCAAATCAAGCCTCAACCACCCAGCTAGACCCAACCAAAGCCTTTTCTGCAAGCCAACTTGGGGCAGATCTAAGCAAATTGCCAGCAGCGGTAGAACACAAAGCCGGCAATGCCCTACCCAAACAATTGGTGCCCATATTCAGATCTCAGCAGCAGTCAACATTCAGTATCCGAGACAAACACAAATGGTGCATGTAAAGGAATTCCACAGATGTGCGCGTATAACTTAGACGGTTTGCTATCAAGACTGGTGAGGACTACAGACCCTGATCCTGGCGTTTGACTCTTGCACCCTGATCAAGGGCTTGCTTGGAGGCAACAAGCTAGAATGACCCCTGGGAAAGGGTTCTCAAAATATGGTTCCCCTAAACAAGTTGGCTTGCTCTTTGTTTCCTACCACGTGCTTGCTGGTCTGCTTGCTGAGTTTGGGAACTCAAGAAAACCTCTCGCGTCCTCCTCGGGGCAAATGAGCCATCGGATGCAAAATGAAACCTGCATGATACGCATACTCACAATTTTCACCTACTTCTATTGGCGACAGCAAATCAACACATGTCTTCTGAGCAGCAAAGCCATTCTGTAAGAGAAACCTACCCATCGGGAAACTGTATGGCCTGAAACGGAAGAACGGGTGCTCGTAAAGGTGTTCCAAACAAATACAGAGACCCCGCTGCACCTGGCCACTCTCCTAGGGGCTTCAGCCTAGGTCCGTTAAAGTGACATCCTCCAAGCTATCCGTTTGGGCCCCAAATAGAAACCTGGTACATGGAAAAGTAGACCAAAACCTGCGGTCCCGCTGGCAAACTAAGATTTTGAGCCACACCCAAATGGTGCACCATCCAAGAACTATATGCCCACCTCAAATGTAGCCGCTGTAAAAGAACGTGGCAAGCGCCTCCTCTTTGTGCCCTAGAGTCCTGCCTCCATGCTCCTCGGACACATACTCCTCCCAACCAGGTGGCAAATTGCCCACCTGATGCAAAGCTTTCAGTTGGATGAAAGTCGCACAATTCGCCCATTTGGGCTCTATAAACCCTTGCTTACCCCTTAGAAGGGAATTGAGGCAGTCTACCTTCACCCGACTGATGCCAGCCGCGCGCGGGGATTGTAAGCCCTCGCCAGCAACGTGGCGATTGGAGTTCGCCCGTGTCCATTGTCCCCCTCGCCCTCGCTCAGACGTCCGAATAGCATTCAGGGTTGTTGAAAATGGGGGGAACCCCAATCCTAATTCGTAATCCATGAGACACCTCTACAATACAAGCAACCACTACCATCTGGCACGACTAAGGATTGATCAACAACTGAAATACTAATTATCACAGCAAGAAACAAGGGCAACTTCTTTGCCGCGGGTCTGTCGAGTCAATGCCACCCAGAAATAATTGTATCATTTCGCCGCAGGCCTCTGTCAGTATAAGACGGGGAACGCTCCAAAACAACTTCAAGCAACTGTGAATTGTAGCTTAAAGCTTGAAATGCAGCATGGGCGTGTCTTCTTGTAGGGGACCCCCCAAATGGTGCTCTTCCCTTTGGCTTCCTTTAAGCCCACCAAAAAAAAACGGGCACACTCAAACAAAGACACGTCAACATGTTGTAGGTGCAACACGTAATTGCAAATTTCACGTTGCAATGCGTTGTTTTGCGGACATGAACAAATGTCATGACCGATTCTGCTTAAAAGCCTTCTATATAGACCATTGCACGATTATGTTTGTTACAATTACACAGCAAAGGAAAGACTCCAATGTTTTCCCGCAGCTAATCCCTCTCTCTCACTCTCTCACTCTCTCTCTCTCTCTCTCTCTCTCTCTCTTTCTTGGGCCGGGCGATGTCAAATACCCTCTCTGATCGACAGGGGCGTTTGTCAGCTTGTCGGGACAATGCCGAGGTTCCATGTTTCCGCCCAACGCCCATTGCATGCCCAAGAAAGCCTCGAGCAGCTCAGCAACCAGCTCTGAGCTCTGGGGAGAAAATGGAATTGCCTACAAAAAACCTAGACCGGAACTTGTATGTGATATTCTTCTATTTTGCCCAACAACTATAATTTGTGTCGAAGCCTCTGTCCTATCATGCTTCAATTGCAATCCTTGTCATTCTTTCAAAAAGTCCCGTGCCGCTTAAACCTCGCTAAAAGGCGTTTCACTGGGCCCAGTTCCCCCCAAATGGTGGCTTGAAGAGCAACCACCGGCTTCCTTGCGGTTTCAGGACTCAAGGGGTTCTTGGAAGCCCGTTTCCCCAAGAAGCTTTCTGATAAGTTCCATGTTTGGTTGCAGGATACCGCCTTCAGGGACCCCCCAAAAGCCCCCGTGAGTTCTCCCCTTCGCCTTGGAGGTGTAAAGCGCAGCTTCCAAAGCCCCCTGCACGTGAAGTTCAGGTCACGCCGGGTTGGTTGGCTGGCTGGTTGGCTGGCTGGCTGGTTGGCTGGCTGGCAGTTGGCTGGCTGGTTGGCTGGCTGGCTGGTTGGCTGGTTGGCTGGTTGGCTGGTTGGGGCATATCAAAATCTAGAGATTGCCCTCCCCAAAGGCACCCGTCAGAGGGGGCCCGAAACAGAAATCTCAATCTCTTGAGGCCCGGGGGTGGGTGCCACCAGCGGGAGCAAGGAAAGCCGTCCCGAGGACATGCTGCCAATCCATCAAATGCATGGACGGGCGTGAAAACCCGCACTGAGTTAGTGGCGGGCTTATGGTGTGCCCAGGCTAAAAATCTGCTGTTGGGGTCAATGCGCCAATCAATGTCCGATGGACCTGGGAGAAACAGAATGCGCTTGATTGAACAAAGAGTCAATGAATGAGGCTAGTTGGCCTGCAGATCCAGAAGGTGTCAAGATGGCAGCGCCCTCCAGAAGAAGTACCCCAAAAACCATCCAATGAATGATGCCTCTTGGTGGTAAGTATCAACATGTGACGGCTAAAGAAGACTTCGCAAAGCACGCCGGCACCTGCAGAGGGAAACCCTTGGAAAATCCCTGACCGATTGATAAGGGCCTCTTCTGTTTCAGTGAGGATCCTTCAATTTGGTGCACCTCACTACAAACAAATTGCTGACTCATCTGGGGAGGCCTATTTGGCCAAAGCATTCAGATCGAACCTCACTTAATTACTCTCCATATACCAAGCCCTCCTCAAAAAAGTGTTGGCTTCTTTTCAACTGTCGTTGAAACCAAACCCAAACAAATGGAGGTTATCCAACAGAACACCATATGGTTGCTCCACTAAGCACAAACAAGATCAAACAAGGTACCCCGAAAAAAGGCACCCCCGAAAAAAAGACACAATAGATGGGGCCGGCTGTCAATGTGGTTCAGACAAAGAGTGGGTTTAAAGACCCTCCAAAAGATCGCAGCCCCCAACCCGAAAAGGAAGGCAGGGGTACCCTTTGTCCAATCACGGAAAGTGGACCTTTCGGGTTTCAAGAGGATGGTGGTCTTCCAGTTGCGGTCGTGGTACACCAATCTCCAATAGCCAATGGCTAATCCCAATGCCAATTGCCAATAGATCTTTAGGGTCCACTTCCATTGGATGGAAACAAGGGGCCTTTTCAACAGGATGGTAGTCTTCCAAAATCAGCCCGTGGTCCACTTCCATGATTGGACGGAGGGCACCCTGCCTCCCCTCTCACAGGGGATTCTCCAAGAGAAAATGGATCTTCCTGGTACCTCCCCACAAACACGGAGGAAAGGTGAACCCCCCCCCCTTCCCCCCTCCCCTCCCCCCCCCCTCCCAAAAAAAAAACAAAACGCCGGCGCCCGTCGTCTTGGACCAAAAACAAAACGCGCCTGGACCTTCTCCTGGTTGTCCATCTGCTCCAGGCCGGAAGCCGGCACCACCGGCCCCGTGCCGCTCCTCGGCGCAAAGTTCGAGAGATGTTCGCATTAAGGGGGATGCACTCAGAGACACAGAGACACACACACACAGGCAAACACATAGGCACACATATAGGCACAGGCACAAACGCACAGGAAAAAAACAACGCACAGGCACAAACACGCGCAGGCGCATGTGCACATGCACCCCCACACGCACCCGCCCGCCCGCCCGCCCAGCGTACCGTCACGCCTGCAGACACATGTGGTGGCACAAACGCACAAACACAAACAAACACGCAAAAACAGGCAAGCAGACAACCAATAAAGACACACACGCAGACAAACAAGCAAACAATAACACAAGCAGGGCCACCAAAAGCAACTCCTGTTTGCTCACTTTGAGATAAATCCGTGAGCCATGGTCAAAATGCCAGTCAAAGACATGGCCTCAAGTTAAATGGACCATAGACTCCTGGTAATTTGGACCGAACCTTTTGCGGAACCACCAAACAAGGATCGAGCTTCCCAATGCTGAAACTGCCCTGCAACTGGGGTGGATTGATGAAAGGGTGAGTTTGGCAGTAGCTTCAATCGTGGATCTTGGTTCTATCCAAAGGATTCAAAGTGACACTTGTGTGTGTGTGTGTGTGTGCGTGTCTGGATGGATGCTTCCAAACGCAATGTGGGTGTGTCTTGGGACCCCAAAAATGTTGGTGTCCTTTTGGTTCCCCTTTCAAACCACAAGAAAGAGGTACCCTCAGAAAACCATGTGGCCCGAGATTGTTGACACGTCCTTGGATAGTTGGCAGCAAATCGCCTCAAAGAGGGGTCCTTTTCCGCAAGGCCATGGTTGAAACTCCCGAAGCACCGTTTGGCCAAATCAAACAGGAAGAGCCGAACTAAAGTTGAGACCCCCGGCAGCAAAAAGGAGCTTCACATGCTGCACAGTGTCGGCAAGAGCGCCTTCTTTTAATAGTAGCCGCCTACCAATACCTGTTTTAAGGCTGCTTCCTAGAATAATCCCTATGGTTGCCCGTTTCCGGGCGACTGGCAAGGACACGCACTAACTTGTAGTGCTAATGTCCCAGACTTCTGCGCACTGGGGCCAAAGGCGCATCGCCGGTGCGCATGGCTGCTTCCTGCAACCAAAACGCGGCAGAACTCCCTGCAAGACGCCGAAAAGCCAAGCTCTGCGTTTGCGCTTTTTGAGACCCTCTGCACCTCGATCTAAAGGGGAATCAACATGAACGCCATATGTGGGGCCCAGTTTTCACACGGACCCATGTCCTCCGTGTGTACCCCTTCTCTGGCTTGCTCATGGAGAGTCTGGGAATAAGCCAAACATTGTGGAGTCCAAAGGAAATTGTTGGTGGGGCTATTCACGTATTCCCTTTTTAGAACAAGCAAGTTTCTGCGACAGACCTCAAGTTCAACGCAGTGCAGAACTGAAAGATCACAGGCAAACTCCTGTCAACGAGCAGAGTCGCCGACGACCTCCAACCAGGTCAAAAAATACTTGGGCGTGAATTTCAACCATTTACAAAAACACACTCCCATTTTCCAACCACGCATTGCACTTTGAAAACCCCTTGAAATTACTATGGCACTCGGATCCCTGCGTGAAAGGAGGGATATAGATTCCCTGCGAATTGAATTCAGAAGGTTTTGGCTCAAACCCGGGCAATGTTTTGAGCAAAGCAAAGTGCGTGACGGAACCCATGTCATCCTCGCGAATATGGCTGGAAGATGTGCCACTGGAAATAACATGGGGCGCGGAGAAACAGAAAAACGCTCCCAGATTCCAAGAGCATCCCGGCTGGCCTCACTTCCTTCAATGATTCAACGCAACCCATTGCCCCGCGACCCTGGTGGAAAAGAATAGGATTCTTTTGTGGGGCGGCAGGGTGATTCAGGCCCCCGCGACAATGAACCGCTTTCTGGGGTTGACCACCTTTAGTGGTGAATCCACCAAACAAAAGGGACCAAACAGGAATCCCACAAAGGGGGGGAATTCCTTGGACCAACTGGGACCACTTCCCAACGCGCTCGCCTGAATGTTCCTCTGCTCCTCGTTGTTTTTGGAGGCTCCACGAAGCCTGGCCCATCCGGATGAGCGCCCGGGACGCTGGGCTGGCGCGTTTCCCCCCTCTGGGGAAAAACACAAAAACATATCTATATATATATATATATATATATGTTCCAGGCCGTGGACCCCCCCCCCCTCCCCCCCAACCCCCCCCCCCCTGTGGGGGTGGGGTGGGTGGTGGGGTTGGGTTGTTTTAGGGTTGGTTCAGGGTTGGTTCAGGGTTGGTTTGCGGTGGGTTTCGGGTGGGTTTGGGGTTTGGGTTGATTTAGGCTTAGGGTTGGGGTTAAGGAGGGGTTGCAGGGTGGTTTGGTTTAGGGTAGGATGTTGCGAGAGGTGCGGGGGTGTTGGTTCACGGGGTGAAAGGGGGAGTGACCGAAGCTGCAGGGCTCACACGGTACTGGACAGCATCCCCAGCATTGCCAGCATCATCCCCAAGATGCGGATGATGCGGGGGAGTGGGGGGACCATACCATTGGGGGGGGGGGGGGTACGTGGCCCAGGGACTGGTACATATAAAAGCATGTCCAGTAGTGATGGATTCCCATTAAAACCAACAAGGCACAATAACAACAAATTATTCTTAAGAAAATGGAAGTGATCTTGCGAGACATGATCAGTTGCATTCTCTCCCCAAAGTCACCGTGTCTGTTCGTTGTCAGGAGGGGCTCTCGTATCCCCTCGAACTCTTCTGTCAAACCAAGCAGAGTGCTGCCACTCAAACCCATCTATGCACGGCGCGTGAAAAAGCAGCGCAAAACCACCTCCAAAAACGGCATCCAACCGATTTTGGGAGGGGTGCCTTTAGCCATGCGTCGTATTGCCCCGCCCCGAAGAATCCTCGGACGTCTTTTTTCAACGTCTGGGCCCCGGACTGCATGAGCTGCGGGCCGTCCATCATGTCCCTGAGCGCCGCTCGCTTCCCAGCTCTCGTAGGCGCCAAAGCACCCACTCAGAGCACAAAAAAAACATCCACCGGGTGGTGCACACCCTGCACCGGGAAAAAAAAGCACATGAGCACCAAACACACTCGCAGGGCGCCAACACAACGAAACCTGATCCAAAAGCACGTCAAACAGCAGAAACACCCAAACAAGCACCTGAGCACCCTACCTGTTGTTCGAAGTATCTGTTTTTTGGCTTGGTGTGGTTTCTGCATGGTTTGCAAGCTATCACTTTACGTTGACGAAGCTCGGCTTTGAGTTGGCGTTACTATAATAATGATGCCTTATGCCACTTATGTCCATAATTACTGTTTCATTTGCAACGTTTGATAGCTGGTGCAATGCAGCTTGTTGTCTCCCATTGGGGTTTGTGATTTGAAGGAGTTGCACAAATGGCGAGTTTACGTGTGATGGCGTAGTGTTGCAATTCATGGGTAAATTGCTGGTTGTATGCGAAGAATGATCCTTCAAAGGTGAAGCTAAATCAGGCACAGAGTGATCTTGGTAACTTCCTGCACAAACACACATCCTTTTAATCTGGGCAAAGAAATATGGCAAAGAACTATAATTTACCCACGTCAAATGAACTAAGAAACCTGGTAGATCAGTGGGATGTTCCTCCTAAAAGTGAGAAAGCCCCCACTTAAGTGGATTGCCCCTGGCTGATCAATTCCGGATCAAAATTCATGAACCAGGAGATCGGCCAAGGGGTGGTTCATGCTGTTGCTAAAAGCTGGACTTGTGGTGGGGATATGTCATAAACTCGTCTAAACTCTAAGAGGCTAACATCTAGGGGTATATGATAGCACATGGGTATGTCTCTTTCTGTTGGAACCCCAACATGGTTTGATGGAAAACCCATTAGTTGGCAAAGGTTCAAGTCCTAACATCCCTTGGCAAATTGCAATAACACATTCTCACATTCCCTGCGCACCGACAAGAAGGGCTTCCTGAGAACCAAAGGGACAAGCCACGGCCCCGGATCGGAACTACTCCGGCCTGGCGCTGGCCTGGATGGAGCTCCGCGCGGAGGGCGGATCCCCGCCGCGGTAGCTCACCTGGACAAAACATCCCCAGGGTGTGGCCTCTCTCTTTTTTTGGAGGTATCCGTTTTTGGTGGGTTTTTTTGAACCAGCCGATCAATTAGGCCCCCCCCCCCCCCGCAGACTGATGGTTGCGAAATACAAACCCGCTGGCGCTTCCCAGCCATATGGGTGGCTCGAACCAGCCTAAAAATAGGGGACCACTTTTGGGAACACCCATATGTTTGAGGAATAGGAACCCGTGAACTCCTTTAGCATATATGCAAAATAGAAGGAGCTTGCCGTCGGGTTCCATGTTAAGTGTAGATTGTCTAACCACCAAATGGAAACGGGTCATTTGACATCTGGGAAGGGAAGGGACCCCCAACTTGGATGGTCGGGGGATAGCACAACGCTGAGCCTTGAATACAAGGGCTTTGACAGGGTTAACTGGGGCTCTGCCGTGGGGGTTTCATTTTCTTTTTTATTCCTGTTCCGCTCGGCTCAACCCCCTCCTTTCCCCACTTTCCCTAAAAAGACCAATGAATTCTAGCACCGAATACCAGAATCGTCCGAATTGGATGCGAATAAAGCAATGTATTTCCGAAGGTTTGACTGATTACTCCCCTACAAATTCATCAACTCAAAACGGCCTAGATAGCCAAGTTGCTGCATTCTTCCAGACACTTCACCTAAACATCAGTCACAGTTGCTGGCACAAAAGTCATCCACTTCACACCAGTTGCCATAGGCGGTTTTTCAACCCAGCATTCGATTCGGGTTTCATCCAGGCCAACTGGTGCAAGTGGATGTAGTCCGCCGCGCCCTTGTCGCCTCTTGATCCTGGAGCGCCTCCACCGCGGCCTTGTCTTGCCAGGCCTCAGGCGCAAGCCCTGGAGAGGAGGGGAAGGCAGAGGAGGGGGGGGGGTCGTTTCGAAGTGGAAAAGGAGAAGCCCCAAAATCCTCGTGGAGCTCCGTTCAGAAAAGGGTTTGCCCAGTGTGGACCTCTGACTTTTCGCTTGCCCTTTTTGCCAACCGGGATGTTGGAGGGTCACCCAAACTGATGTCACAGCCTGCCAAAGCGTAAGACCAAGCTGACGTCTCACGTCGTACCTCGGGGCTTAAGACTTGAGGCTACCAAATGAAAGCAACGGCGAACTAGAGTTTTACTTCCATTTGCTTCAGCCCAGGAAAATATGTCCAGTGAAATCCGCCGACCCCTTTGCAAAAGCAAAGTTAGTCTCTGCAAAGGGGCGAGGCGTGTTCTAAGTGGTTGTTAGGGGGAGTCTGAGGGGGGGAGGGGGGGTCCCGCAGCGGATTTTTGACACGCCTAACCTCTAACCCTAACCTCCAACCCTAACCTCTAACCCTAACCTCTAACCCTAACCTCTAACCCTAACCTCTAACCCTAACCTCTAACCCTAACCTCTAAACCTAACCTCTAACTCTAACCTCTAACCCTAACCTCTAACCCTAACCTCTAACCCTAACCTCCAACCCTAACCTCTAACCCCAACCTCTAACCCTAACCTCTAACCCTAACCTCTAACCCTAACCTTTAACCCTAACCTCTAACCCTAACCTCTAACCCTAACCTCTAACCCTAACCTCTAACCCTAACCTCTAACTTTAACCTTTAACCGTGGATGGATGATGATGATGAAAGACTAGGAAGATGACGGAAGACTACGGGAAGATGACGGGAAGCTGACAGAAGACTACGGGAAGATGACGGAAGACTGCGGAAGACGACGGAAGACAAGGAGAAGATAACGGAAGACTAGAAGAGTGCGGGACTGCACGAAGATGACGGAAGACTACGGGAAGACGACGGAAGCTGACGGAAGACTACGGGAAGATGACGGAAGACTACGGGAAGATGACGGAAGACTACGGGAAGATGACCCTACTCTAACCCTAACCTCTAACCCTAACCTCTAACCCTAGCCTCTAACCCTAACCTCTATCCCTAACCTCTAACCCTAACCTTTAACCCTAACCTCTAACCTTAACCTCTATGACCTTAACCTCTAACCCTAACCTCTAACCCTAACCTCTAACTTTCACCTCTAAGCGTGAGGATGGATGATGATGATGAAAGACTAGGAAGATGACGGAAGACTACGAAAAAGATGACGGGAAGTTGACAGAAGACTACGGGAAGATGACGGAAGAGTACGGGAAGCTGACGGGAAGATGACGGAAGACTGCGGGAAGATGCCGGAAGACTACGGGAAGATGACGGAAGAGTACGGGAAGATGACGGGAAGCTGACGGAAGACTGCGGGAAGATGACGGAGGACTACGGGAAGATGACGGAAGACTACCGGAAGATGACGGAAGACTACGTGAAGATGACGGGAAGCTGACAGAAGACTGCGGGAAGATGACGGAAGACTACGGGACTGCGGGAAGATGACGGAAGACTGCGGGTGACGGAAGACTACGGGAAGATGACGGAAGACTGCGGGAAGACTAGGACGGAAGACTATGGGAAGCTGACGGAAGACTACGGGAAGCTGATGGGAAGATGACGGAAGACTGCGGGAAGATGACGGAAGAGTACGGGGAGATGACGGAAGAATACACGAAGATGACGGGAAGATGACGATGATGATGATGATGATGATGCTGATGATTTTGATGATGATGCTGATGATGATGATGGTGATGCCGATGATGATGATGACGCCGCTGATGATGATGACGATGATGATGATGATGGTGACGAGGATGATGATGATGATGATCAGGAGGATGATGAGGATGATGATCTGACGATGGTGCTGATGCTGGATGATGAGGCTGAGGATGATGATGCTACTGAGGCTGAGGATGATGATGGATGATGATGACGACATGGTGGATGATGACGATGATGATGATGCATCGTCCTCATTCATCAGGTTGAGCAGCATCATCGTCATCCTCCTCATCATCATTATCATCATCATCCCCGCATGAAGCCAGACGTTGGAGAAAAATCCGGCCCTTGCTATCGCTGAGAGAAAGCCCGGCTCTTCTCCGTCCCAGACCAAAAAGCAGCTTCCGCATCCCCAGCATGCCAGGCATCACCCCAGACACCTGCAGGATGATGCCGGTGAAGCGGGGGATGCAAAAGCTGCTATTTTTCCCGACATTCGAAGACCAAAAAGGCAGTTCCTGCATCCCCAGCAAGCAAAGCATCACCCCGGGCACCTGCAGGATGATGCTGGTGAAGCGGGGGATGCAAAAGCTGCCTTTTTTCCCAACATTTGAAGACCAAAAAGGCAGCTCCTGCATCCCCAGCATGCAAAGCATCACCCCGGGCACGTGCAGATGATGCTGGTGAAGCTGGGGATGCAAAAGCTGCCTTTTTCTACAACGATGGAAGACCACAAAGGCAGCCCCCGCATCCCCAGCATGCGAGACCTTGGCGCCAATCCTGCTGAGAGACGGAGAAGGGCCAGAGTTTCTCCAACGTGTGTGATGCTGTTACGGGGGTCGGCGGCATCAGGCGTCAGCCTGCTAAATCCGGCCACCGGACGTGATCGGGCCGCAGGCCAAAGCCCGTTAGGGCTTACCTTCAGGTATAAGGCCGCGCGCCCCATGCCGCCGACCATGCGCGGACCATGCGCAGAACATGCGCATACGTTTTATGCTGGGCCCTCCCTTATAAGGGGCGAAGGATTTGCGGATTGGTTTAGGCGTTTTTGTAGCATCTCCCCGCAGCATCCAAAAACGAGTCCAAAAACGAGTATTTTTGGGGGGTGCCTAATACTGGACAACACCCCCAGCATTGCCAGCATCATCCCGGATGATGCGGATGATGCTATGCATGCTGGCGATGCGAAACAAGGGGCTGAAGGGGAAATGCAAGGAAACAGGAGTGACTGGAAGTGAACGAAATGCAAGTCAAAGGAATTGCACGAAAATGAAGCGGGCACTGGAGAGAAACCGAGATGCGGGAAAATGCACGGGCAGAGCGTGAAGGGAACCGGACAGCGGGAACGAAAAGGGAAAGGAATGCAAATAAACAATTCATGGGAAATGGCTGGATGGAATGGGCTGGAAAAAAAGCATGCAAAATTGATGGAAATGAAGGGGCGTTGATGAAAAAAATGCGGGGAATGGAGGGAAAGGGGATGGATGAAAATGTGTGGACAATTGATGGAAAGTTCCTGGAAAATGCATTGATGGAATGGATGGAAAAAGGATTGCAACAGGGTGCAACAGAATGGAAATGGATGGGAAATGTCTGGAAAATGGATGTCAAAGGAATTGCACGAAAATGAAGCGGGCACTGGAGAGAAACCGAGATGCATGGAAAATGCACGGGCAGAACGTGAAGGGAGCCGGACAGCGGAAACGAAAAGGGAAAGGAATGCGCATAAACAATTCATAGGAAATGGCTGGATGGAATGGGCTGGAAAAAGGATGGACAAAAAGGATGCAAAATTGATGGAAATGAAGGGGCGTTGATGAAAAAAATGCGGGAAATGGAGGGAAAGGGGATGGATGGAAAATGTGTGCACAATTGATGCAAAGTTCCTGGAAAATGCATTGATGGAATGAATGGAAAAAGGATTGCAATAGGGTGCAACGATTGAGCATCCATGGCGGACATTGCTTGGGATGATGCAGTCGATGCAGGGGGTGCTGTCCACGCCGTTCAGGGACGTGTGGGGAAATGAAGGGAAAGGCGACTGGAAATGGATCGCAAATGTCTGGAAAATGGATGGAAACTTCATGGAAGCTGGATGGAAAGTTGCTGGAGCATGCAGGGGGCGCTGTCCGTGCCGGTAAGGGACATGTGGGGAAATGAAGGGAAAGGTGGATGGAAATGGATTGTGGAAAATGGATGACAACTTCATGGAAAATGGATGGAACATTGCTGGACAATGGATGGAAACTTCGCGGAAAATGGGTGGGCAATAGATGGACACTTGCGGGAAAATGGGTAGCAAATGATGGAATGCATGGACAAAGGATGGAAATGCATGGAAAACAGCTGGATAATGTATGGAAAATTGAGGCTTCTTTTTTTAAAACACTTTCCGTGCAGAGTCAAAAACCCGAGCGGTTTTTTGAGGGGGGGGCTTGTTGCGAGACCACCAAACCCACCGAGATCATAACACAAGCCTTGGTTGTTAGAGAAGCCTAGCACGAAAAAAACTGCCAACGGCCCGCTAGACAGCGAGACGCAGACAGCAGAAGAGGTGTCTCGAATGATCACATCACATGTTTGCCACGGCCTTTTTCTGTCTGCCGCGCCAACACGTCTTGAACGATAATGACGCTTGCTCCAAGCTAGGCTTGTCCGAGCAGCACGCTTGGGCCGAGCTGCATGCTCGCATGGCCGGAGCCACGTTCTGGCTGGCTCTGCTCCTGTGGCTGGAAGTTTTTTCTCACTTGCCTTGAAACTTCGCTTTTGAGTTTTAACTCCTTTGTGCGGACAAGTCCCTGCGCAACCTGAGCATAACTTTGGTCCGGCCTGTCTGACTTGTGTCGAAGCTCAGCCCTGCTTGTGGCGCTTTTGGCCGGGAGTCTCACTTGGCTTGCGCGCGCACTCACGGCACACCCAGGAGGGCCAACGTCTGGCGCGGTACTCGTCCCTGCGGGGGCGCGCTCGCCCACACCCCCCTTGGCATGGCGGGAAGGCGCAGTTGTTGCACCAAGAGTCTGCGTTGGCCGCCCTTGCCAAGCTTCCGCCGCATTGGCTGCACGTGTTTGCGGCACACTGGTTGCAAGTCCAGTTGGGGCACACTCTGGCACGATACACTCCCGCTCGCGGGCGGGCAAGTCCACACCCGCCCTGGCACGGCGGGAAGGCGCAGTTGTCACACCAAGAGTCTGCGTTGGCCGTCTTTGGCAAGTCTCCGCCGCATTGGCTGCACGTG